CCTATCGATCCTGTTGTCCATTTCCCAACGTGGATCCTCATCTCATCTTCAACAGAATGAGACAGCCAGAGGAGCTGGGAGGAAGGATGATGGGGGAGACGCGGAAACCAGGAGAGGGTGGGTGGAACAGGGAAGGGCAGGATAGTTGGGCGGGGTCGATGTAAGTTGTTACAGGTCAACCAGGAAGCAGAATCGGTACTTACGTGAAAGATATGAGGAGTTTAGTGAAATACATATGGATGTAGATAAACAATGATATGTTACGGTGAATCCATACTGCGCAGCATGAATGTAAAAGACAAACACAATCCGTGTACTAATGCCAGTGAGAGGCATCAGCAATAACCAGCAGCTCAGAGCCAAGTTTGCCTCCCAGGCCCCATGACTGCATGGTGTGCACAGTGAGAAGCATTACTGCATGTGTGATTGGAATGGATTGATTGGCCGGTTGTTAGGAACCCTGGGCATGAACAACAATCCACATCGCATGTAGGAAAAAATTGCAAGCTAGCGGTGTGTTGTGCAAACAAAGGAATGCACAAAGGCAAAATGCACACATGGGCACATGCACACATGGGCACATGCACACATGGGCACACGCACACATGGGCACATGCACACATGGGCACATGCACACATGGGCACACGCACACATGGGCACATGCACACATGGGCACACGCACACGCACAAAAGAGAATGCACAGGCGCACATGCACAGAAACACGAGCACATGCAAGCGCACCTGGTGGCAGTCACAAGAACGACACACTTGCTCGCCGCCTCCAATCTCCACCTTCCGGCCTACGCCCTCCGATCTGCACCCTCCGATCTGCACCCTCCGATCTGCACCCTCCGATCTGCACCCTCCGATCTGCACCCTCCGATCTGCGCCCTCCGATCTGCACCCTCCGATCTGCACCCTCCGATCCGCACCCTCGAATCTGTAAACTCAAATCTGCTCTGTGATTCGCACCCTTTATTCTGCACCTTCCGATCCGCGCCCTCCAATCTGCACCTCCAATCTGCACCCTCCAATCTGCACCCTCCAATCCGCACCCTCCAATCTGCACCCTCCAATCCGCACCCTCGAATCTGCACCCTCCAATCTGCACCCTCCAATCTGCACCCTCCAATCTGCACCCTCCAATCTGCACCCTCCAATCCGCACCCTCCAATCCGCACCCTCCAATCTGCACCCTCCAATCTGCACCCTCCAATCTGCACCCTCCCATCTGCACCCTCCAATTCGCACCCTCTGTTCTGCACGGACCAGCCTTCTACTATCAGGACCACCGCAAGGTGCATCCTACCATCACAGCAACGCCTTCCGATGTGCCTTCCGCATTTTTACATTCCGCACTTCAAACCTCTTGCTCCTGCATGCTCCCCGCCCCCACCGAATTGCCAGTCACACCCCTCTCCCCACTGGTCCTCTCCCCACTGGTCCTCTCACCCACAGTGCTCCCGTCACCCCGCTGCTCCCCTCACCCCGCTGCTCCCCTCACTCCGCTGCTCCCCTCACTCCGCTGCTCCCCTCACCCCGCTGCTCCCCTCACTCCGCTGCGCATCGCAGGCGCCCATTGGCACCACACAGCTCGCCGCCATGCCCTTTCCCCCATTTATTTATCCCAAAAAATCCCACTCATTCCATTCATCCCTCACCACTCATTCCATTCATCCCTCACCACTCATTCCATTCATCCCTCACCACTCATTCCATTCATCCCTCAACACTCGCCTTAACCAATGACCATGATCCCCCTCGCCCCATCCATTCATGCCAGGGAATCCGCCTCCCCCACCTTCCCCACCACTCCCACCTCCCCCACCACTCCTACCTCCCCCACCACTCCCACCACCTGTGCCACAGCCCCCACCATTGTCACCATAGCCCCCAAGCAACCCTGGTTGCAAGACTGAAACTCAAAAGAATAGACTTAAGATTTCACGGTCTTTGGGACACCATTACCCAGTCACTAGCATCGCCCTCCACTCAGAATAAATACCACCTCGCTCGACAGCCCGTGCATGCGCACTGTCGCGGCCAGGTTCGGCGGCCGAGCAGCCACAAAGCGAGCATGCTGAGCCTCGGAGCGTAACCCTGTAACCCTGTCGATCTTGAACTCGATGGTCAACGCGCCGAGCCTGAACCCTCAGCAGTCAGTCGGCATGCGCCCATTTCCGCCTCACTACTAGCCCCAGCCATCGCTATCATCCCCTTGCCTCCATACCCACGTGCTTACCACACCTACGTGCTCCTCACACCCACTTGTCCACTCCACCGATTGCCACATCGGACGTGCGCCCATTCGCATCGCACCAAACTGCTCGCCGCCCCAGCCATCGGCGACTGTATTCTTGAATCGACTCAGCGCTTGAACCCCCGGCAATCACTCTGCGCCGTCAGCGGCGGGGCGAGGCACGAACATGATAATACACGCTCCCCCCACCGCCACCGCCGCCCCCACCAAGTCCCACACGTCCGGAGCCGTCCGGAGCCGTCCGATCGGCCCAGCCCCACAACAGCGCGAGCAGGATGAAGATCCCACCGTACGCTGAGTACGTGCGCGCGAAGGAAGCATCCTGGAAGGTGGAGACCAATCCGTAGCCGAAGAGGATCGCGGCGCCGAGGAAGCACCAGGCCCAATGCCAGCCGTTGATTCGCCACTGCCACACGAACCAACCGCCGGCGATCTCGAAGATCCCCGCCGCGACGAAGAGCGCGAGCGACTTGAGAACGTCGAGCGGCGCGTACTTCATGGCGCGATGACGCGATGCCGCACCACAATGCGGCAATGCCGCCGCTGCGTGCGTGCGTGCGTGCTGAATCGGACACGATCTAAGTGCGGGTTAGGTCAGTGCACGATGCCGAATTGGACGGCGTGCTTTCTGTGACGATTCAAAAGGCGACTTGAGGACGGAAGTCAAGCGGCGCGTGCTTCATGCCGCAATGCCGCCGCTACGCCGCAATACGGCCCGTACTAGGGCACGAAAAAAACGCTGGTTAGATCAGGGCGATGGCTAATGGGACTGCGTCAAGCCAGACAATTTGTTACACGAAAATGTCATTCAAACGAGCAACGAAAGTAGTATTTTTTGGTATTTATTCTTCGACAGGTAAAGTGTAGGGATTGACTGGCTTGGCTGATCCATGCCCATTTTCTTACCACCCCTTCGAACCGCTTGCAATCGCGCTGCAAGGCGATCCGAGAAAGATCGCACCTGAAACTTGGGCTCCTATTCCGGCCGAGTGCTGAGATCTGTTATGGAAATGAATCGAACCTGAGATTTCTAGGTTTTGCAAAGCAGAGCTGCGGGTCCAATTTTCTTCATAATCTGAAACTTGAGGTACGTAGGTCGACTCGAAGTCGAGCCTGGTCTCATTTGGCGTGCGTGCAGAATCGTGTTCGTGTTCGGCGATGTCTCAGAAAGCACGTTGCGAAGATTCCAGACGTTGCGGTGTAACCCGAGATCATTTCCAGTGACGTTCTTGTCCGCACAACCATGGCCCTGTTCTGTTGGCACATTCATAGTGCTTGGCCGAAAGATGAACGTTCCAGGAACCCGTATGATTGAGCTTAAAACCAGCGTCGAGCCTCCCATTTCGCTATTGTGTACCGAACCTGGCAGCATACGCTGTGCGCCCGTGGGTAACAGAACCCATCACAGTTCAGACTTCACTTCGAAACTTCATTCACAGGCAAACAGGAGCCTTCGCTCGTGCGAACCCTATCCACCCAATCGAGGGGGGAGGGGGGACGCACAAGCAATAACGGGCAGATCTTGACGCCCGTTATTGGGAAATTTTACGATGATTTAACTCACCAGAAAAAACACACCAAACGAGAAACAAGGGTGAACCCAAAGGCCGAAGGTTTCTAAGTGGTCAGAATGAAACATTTTGAGAAACATGGGCAGCTTGGGCATGGTAAACGAATATTACCTCGGCTTATTGCAAGCCTGCTTTGTCGTTAGCACAAAACTTCGCCGAGGCCGCGCGGGGGCTGTCCCGTTCGAGGAAAACCCATCCCGCAGTGCTTGTGCGGGAGGCTCCAATTGGTGGCCCATCTCTCGTTCTGCACGACCAGCAGCATGCATGGCCAATCACAACACGGCTCGAGCAGTAGACGAGCAATCTCGCATTTCTTGCTTCTATACTCTCCGCATGCACATGCCACGTGGCGTGCCATTGACGTCCCAGATTAGTCCATCTGCAGGTTCGGCGAACCCAAACTGGCCGCCACTGTCCCAGCCAGCCCGGCAGTGCCAGGAACCGAAGAGTCAAGAGTCAGCAGCCAGTGAAGCGAACCAGGTTCATGGAGGTTCGGATTTACCCGAACGCGCGCCAGGCTTGCGTTTGGGAAATGTCGACCGCTCTGCGGCGAACGGGGGAACGAGGGCGGCGACAGAGTCACAAGGCGCCTCAGGGGGCATGCGGCGGGGGAACGGACCGGTGGAGAATGGCTTTGCGGGATGCACCACGCGTCTCAGCTGCGCGGCACATTCACTCAGACCGCACCGTTCAGACGTTCCGCTGATATTAGTTGTACCGTGTTCCTGTCGGTTTCTTCACCCCGTTGCTACCCGGAAGATCCGCCGTCATGAGGCGATAATTGAGTCGACTCGGAACATGCGTTCAGCTAGTTTCGGACACTCAGGAAGCCGTTGTGAGCGAATTGGTGTCAGGCTCGAGAATCAAATCAGCTATTGTATTGGACACTCAGGAAGCGTCGCGTGGCCAGGAAGCAATAGGGGTGGAAGGGCACGGGGGACGGGGCGTGAGTGCGCCCTGCGTGGGGGGGACGGGGCGTGAGTGTGCGCTGCGTGGGGGGGAAGGCGCGTGGGGGGAAGGCGCGTGAGTGCGCACGCGCCGCTGCAGGAGCAAAAGGGGGCAGAGGAGGAGCAGGAAGCGCCAAGGACAGGGAGTGCGGGAAAGCTCCGATACAGACCGGGCTAGAGGGCGGGGTGGCAGCTGCGTGCCTGAGGCAGAGGAGTGGGGATGGGTGGGCGTTGGTGGCGAGCGGTGGTGGGACGCCTGAGCCTCATGCAGCGAGGCAAGGCGCCCCTGCGGTTCAGCAGGGATCCCTGGCTGGGTGGGCGGGCTGGGGGCGCGCCGCAGGGAGTTGGGGGGGCGGAGGGGTTTGGTGGGGCGGGGCACATGGGCACGCCAGGGGGTGTGCGGGTGGGGGGAGTTGCGCCAGACAGGGGAGGGGGCTGGGGGTCGCTTCTGGTTGCCTGTGCTGCAGGGGCGGCTGGGTGTGCGGTGGTGGAGTTGGGGGTGGAAAAAGGAAAAGAAGCTGCTGGCGTGATGGCAGATGCATGGAGGCAGGTGCAGGGGGATTGGCTGCTGCTATGGGTGGAGTGTGCTGACGTGGCTGGTCTTAGTGCTAGTATCAAATCTGATGATAGCGGATCGTCATTAAAAAACCGTGAATCTGGTGGCGCTGGTGGCGCTGGTGGGGCAGGCGGGACAGGTGGGGCAGGTGGTGGGAATGAGAGCAACGGGAGCAACAGCAGCGTTGTTTCACACACCAGCAGTGATATCGCTGGTGGCAAGTCCAGTGATGGCGCTGTGGGCAGGAAGCGAGTAGTGGTGCTGGGGTCGGGGTGGGGTGCGGTGAGCTTCCTTAAAGCCATAGACGCGCATGGGTACGACGTCACACTCATCTCGCCCCGCAACTTCTTCCTCTTCACACCGCTGCTGCCAAGTGTCACCACGGGAGTGGTCGAGGGCAGGAGCATCGCCGAGCCAATCAGGCGCATCCTGCTGAGGGTGAGTTTCCAATCAGGTGCTGCCAGCAATGTCATGCAATCAGTGTCATTATTGAGTGCAGTAGCAAAGCCCTCTCTCGTGACTTATTCATCCCTTTTCTCCCACTGCCCCTCGCCGCACTCACCTCCTCTTTCGCCCATCCTGAACCTTCCTATTGCCCTCCTATCAGCATGCAGCACAAATCGTTTCGTTGCAGCCGAGTGCAGGAGGCGGGCCACCATTGTAACTTCAAGGCGGTGTGTCCCCCCTCGGTTGACTAACCACTGCCCTGCCATCCACATCCACCCTGCGCCCGCAACAACCCCTTGCTTCCCCCCTCCCCCGATCCCCCTCTCCCTTTGCTGGCAGCACGTCAGCTTGGCTCGGTCCCTCGAGGCAGAGTGCACGTTGTGATGAGAGTGAGCTCAGAACACACCCTCACACCTCCTTGACTGCTCTCCCCTCCCCCACCCCCGCCTTCTTACCCTCGTGTCCCTCATCCACCCCCCTTCCTCTTCTGGCAGCACTGCAGTTGGTGCGTTTCCTCAAGGCCAAGTATACGAGCATCGACCCCTATTCGACCTGCAACTGCCTGCTCTCCCTTCCTTCATCCCCCACCCCCTGTGCTGGCAGAACGGCAGCTCGGCTCGCTTCCTCAAGGCTGAGTGCATTGCCGTCGACCCCTCATTCGACCTGCAACAATCGGCTGTTTTTCCCACTCACCCACCCCGTCCTCATACTCTCTTGCGCCCCTCCTTTTCCCACCCATCCTTGCTGGCAGCACGGCAGCTCGGCACGCTTCCTTGAGGCGGAGTGCACGGCCATCGACCGCTCACTACACCTACAACTGGCTGCCTCCTTATCCACGCCACCCGCTTTCCCTCCTTTCCTCCATCCTCCTTCCGACACCCCCCGCCCCCTCTGCCACTCTCCTTGCTGGCAGCATGGCAGCTCGGCTTTTTTCCTCGAAGCTGAGTGCACGGCCATCGACCCCGCCTCCAGGACCCTCTCCTGCCGCGCCCCTGCCGCCCTGCCCCCTCCGCTGCCCATGCCGACTGTTGCAAAGGTTGGGGGCCAGGAGGAGGGTGACAGGGAGACGACACGAGAAGGAGCCAAAAGAAAAGGTGGTGGCGCTTCTGGTGGCAATAGTGGTGGTGGTGCTGCTGCTGCTCCGAGTTGTGGTGATGCTGTTGATGGAAACGTAGCTGCTGCTGGGGGTAACACGAGAGGAGGTGAGAGTGGCGGCGCCAGGGAGGTGCATGGCGGCGCCAGGGAGGTGCATGGCGGTGCAAGGGAGGTTCACTTCACAGTGCCGTACGACATGCTGGTGGTGGCCGTGGGGGCCGTGCCCAACACGTTCAATGTTCCTGGCGTGCAACAGCACTGCCACTTCCTCAAAGTGAGCTCCGCGCACTGGGCTTAAGGCACTGGTCACGGGGCACTGGGCAAGCACCGGGAGAGGGAGGATCAAATCAAATCTCTTGCTACCGCAAGGCATGCACTGATGGATGCTTGCTGCTGAAATCGCCTTGTTGCCCTTTGCTGCGTCGCCGTGCCGTCCTCCTCACGCAACAATCCCTGTCCCACCCTCCTCGATTTCCCGTTCCCCTCCTCGATTCCCCGTTCCCCTGCTCGTGCCCATCCCCCTGCTCGTGCCCATCCCCCTGCTCGTGCCCATCCCCCTCTTCCCATGGTTTCTCTTTCTGCCCGTCAATGTCTCCCCCCCATCCCCCTCCCCTCCCCATCTCTTCCTTCCATCCTTTCAATCTTTTTCCCCCATCCCTTCCCGCCATCCCCTCCCCCAATCCCCCCAACCCATCCCTTCCCCCCATCACCTCCCCCCATCTCCTCCCCCCATCCCCCCAACCCATCCCTTCCCCCCATCCCCTCCCCTCATCCCCTCCCCCCATCCCCTCATCCCATCCCCTCCCCCGACCTTATCAGGAACACACTTATCGAACGCTGCAAGGCGGGCCCCCTCTACCCCTTCTCATTCCTCTCCCCCACATCCCGTTCACCGATCTCATTCCTCTCCCCCACATCCCGTTCACCGATCCCTCCCCCTTATGCCACGCGCATCCATCCGTCACTGCAACACCTCTCCCTCCGTCAGTCGCTGGACGATGCGGAGGCCATCAGAAACACGCTCATTGACCGCTTCGAGGTGGCATGCCTGCCGGGAATAGATGCAGACGAGCAACAGAGGTAACCGCTAGGAGTAACACAGGTAACTGATAGGAGTAATACTGGTAACCAATAGGAGTAACACAGGTAACTGATAGGAGTAAAACAGGTAACCGATAGGAGTAACGCAGGTAACTGATAGGAGTAGTGACACAGGTAACCGATAGGAGTAACACAGGTAACTGATAGGAGTAGTGACACAGGTAACCGATAGGAGTAACACAGGTAACCGATAGGAGTAACACAGGTAATCACTAGGAGCAACACAGGTAATCACTAGGAGCAACACAGGTAACCGCTAGTAGTAACACAGGTAACCGCTAGGAGCAGCAGAGGTAGCATACACCACCTTATCTCTTTCTTGTGTTGTGCCACTCTCTCTGCATCTGCCGCTTCTCCCTCTCTTCCCCCCCATCCATCAATTGCTCGTCTTTCCTAACCTTCCGCCACCACCTGATGCACTCACTGCACCCCTCTTCACCCTGCTGTGCCCCTCTGCTGCACCTTTTGTGAAGAGACCTTGCAAGCTTTCATTCAAATCTCTGTTTCGCTATGCCCCACCCTTAACCCCCCACCCCCCACCCCTCGCCCCTTTCCACATCCACCACTTTCCCGGCCATTCCTGCCGTCTTGTCAAATCCCCATCTCATTGTGCAATATTTCTGCACCCTGCAGCACTACCCAGCACCCTGCTGCACCCCGCTGTACCCCGCTGTGCCCTTCTTGAGATATACACCACTTGCAGACCTTCCCGCTTTTCCCTCTGCGTTCTGTCATGGCTCTCACTCACTGTCCACTCGCTGAATCTGCACCCCTGGCCCCCCGCCCCGCGCCATTCACCCCTCACTACTCACCCATGCCTGCAGGCTGCAGCACACAGTGGGGGTGGGGGACGGCTCCACGGGAGTGGAGGAGAGAGGTGAGAGGGGCGCCTCACTTCCTGCCTTACCTTCCCCCCCCTATCTGCCCCTCTCCTCTCCCCCCAGGCTGCTGCACGTGGTGGTGGTGGGGGGCGGTCCCACAGGAGTGGAGGTGGCAGCAGCAGTGCATGACATGATAGAGGGGGACCTCTACCGTCTGTACCCTGCCCTCAGGGGCAAGGCGTCCGTCTCTCTCCTGCAGTCAGGCGATCACATTCTCAACATGTGAGATGGGGTGCTATTGGTTGTTCTTAAGGGAACCGCCTCGCGTCACAGGGATGGAGGTGGTGTCAGGATTTCAATCTTTACGTAGGATAATAGATATAAATTTGTGACTTATAGGACAATAGGCAGAACCATAACGCGAGTAGTAATAGCGCGACCGAGAGCCGAAGTGAGCGAAACCGAAATGGAATCCGCGAGGCGAAAAGGTACCGTTAGAGCAACGGCGGTAACTCGTGGGAATTACTTAAGCCAGTAGGCAGCATAGGATCAATGCTTGTGTGTTTGTTTTCCCGATGATGCTTAAACTTTCTTATCAGCCTGTAAGATCCTAAGCAAAGCGAAGCCAAACTTTGCAATCATTCAGTCTGAGGTAGTCGCTCACAGTTTCAGTCTGCCGAGCTAGGGTTTGGGCATCAAGGCTATTAGTGGCCAGAGAGTGTTTTTACAAACACGCAAGGAACTGCTACCGATGAATAGCATAGATCTAGTACGTATCCGGCTGTGGAGTGATACCGGGAAACCCCGACCTACCGCCGGTTGGCGAGCTGACGCGGTAGCCGCAACCGGGAAACCAGGCCCGTCCCATCCGACTAAGGATTCGCCGAGATACAGAACCCCCCATCAATGAGCTCGGGCTGCAACCGACGGCATGGACCACGGCCGGGTCGCTATCTCGGACCTCGGGGATTCGCCGCGAGATATTGGCTGGACCGAAGAAGTACGAGCGCGATGGCGGGGCCAGGAAGTAGTTACGGCACTGTCCGGGATGCCCGGAATGACGACGAACCGAGACCAGCCGGACGCGCGTTGGACTCCGAACGCGGGACCGCCGACGGAGACGCTGAGAGAAGCCGCGTTAGTTGCGAGCGGGAATGCGCAGCAACCCGAAGACCCGAGCGATGCGTCACCGAATCGAAGCGGGCGGTGGAAGGCTACCAATCTACCGAAGTGGAGATAGCAGAGCGCTATTCCGGCATCCCGGGTGTGGGACCAAGTCTGAAGAATTACCTCATGCAGCTCGAGACGGTGCAGTACTGCTGGGAACGAGACGGATACGACCCGGCGGAGTTCTTCAGGAAAATGGTGGGAACGGTGTCGGAGGAGGCGGAGACGTTCTATCGGATGACCCGAGACGAAGTATTAGAAGAACTGGCGGAAGGAGAAATTACCAACCCCACGGAGCGGTTCATTCAGCTGTTGCGGAAGGAGTTCGTGGGGCAGACAAAAGCCCGGGTGGAAGAGTTCCGAGACTTCCGCCGAAAGAAGGACGAATCCTTACTAGTAGGGATGAGTAAGGGGCGAACACGAACGTGCTCGCGTTCGCCCCAGCTCGAACACTGCCGTTCGGCGAACCGAACCTTTTACAAAAAAGGGTGTCCGATGTTCGCCTGTGAGGGCGAACATCTTGCATGCTAAGGCGAACACGAACGTGTTCGAGGCGAACACGAACGTGTTCGCCCCTGGGCATCCTTTGTTATGCTCGAAATACGCAACGTCGGGCAGGGGAATTGCGGGAAACTGGGGGAAAATATCTAGGCTGGATCAGCATTTTGCGAGATCTAAATACGGATCCATAGTTTTTTTAATCCAGCTCGCCACCTGGATTTCCCCCCACGTAAGGCGAAATGCTCTCCCCGTTCTATATCTACGAAATCTGCGATTGCTCGCCAACCCCCCACAACCCCCCAACTCACGAAATATGCGAACGCTATTCCTCTCAATCCCATGCATACGAAAGTTGCGTATGCTTACCCCCAACCCTAAACTTACGAGATTCTGCGATATCCCTGTCTAATCTTTTCCCGAAAACCTAAATCTCGCATGCCCAAGTCTAGATAGACTAACCTAAGGTAACTACTTAATTACGCTAAGTCCTAATAAGGTGATAACGGCGTGATGTGTGGGGGGCGTGGTAGTAATGGCTGCTGCAGAATAGCGCAACTAAGTTTGAGCTTAAATTTGAGCTCAAACAGAATGTCCCGCAACGTAAATTGTAGCCCGCAGGGACAGTCGCGTCTAACACATTCGTGTTCGTTTTTGCCCCGAAACGAACACGAACGCGTTCGTGTTCGACGCGGCTCGGCAGCAGTAGCGGGGCGAACACCGAACGTGTTCGGGCGAACACCGAACACGTTCGCCTCGAACATTTTTAGCAAAAAGAAAATCCTGTTCCGAACAGGTGTTCGTTTCCATGCTCATCCCTACTTACTAGCGTACTACTGTCGACTTCGAGAGCTGGCGGAGGATCTGGAGAGCAAGGACGAGAGGCTGCTGGTGCGAAAATTCGTGCGGGGATTGGACGAAGACTTGAAGGGAGTCGTGCGGAGCACGGTGTACGGCATCGGCGCGGATATCACTCTGAAAGAAGTGTATCAGCTGGCTAAGAAGACGGAACAAGCGCAGCGTCTGCTGGATTTGGAGGACACGGAAGGGAAGAGCCGGGCGAAGACCAGTTGGGCGGCTGTCGCCGTGCCCGAGCCTACTGCTAGCAGTGGCAGTCGTTCCGACCCGCGTCTTTGCCATACGTGCGGGGAGCACGGTCATTTGAAGCGGGACTGTCCTAAGGCACCGGTGTGTGAACAATGCGGAAAAAGAGGGCATCGAAAGGAGGATTGCTACAGCCGGCCAAGAGAGTCGCTGAGGGCAACTAGAGAAGAACTGCAAGCCGAGGTCAAGCGCTTGCAGCTACATCTGGAGCAGCTGCCGAATCCGAAAGAAGCGAAGGCGCGGGCTCTCTTGGCGTACGAGGAGATCGAGGGGGAGGAGGAGGGAGAGGATGATTATAAGAGAGAATACGCTGTGATGGCGTACCCCAGGGAACGAAGACACGAAGGCCAGTAGAGGTGGTGCTGTTGCCAGGAACGGAGAAAGAGTGCTGCATCCGCTTGCAATGCGGGATATCCGAGTCCAAAGACTACGATATGCTCGTCGGGATGCATATGCACGTGGCAAGAGAAAGTCTTGTATAGGGTGCAGTATTGGGATCCGGAGAGTTCTGTGGGCACGCTCCTGGTGCGGTTCGTGAGGCAAGAGCCACGGGAGGCGTATCGGGCGCAGATGCAGGACTTGACCGAGGAGCTGGACGAATGGCCCTGGGAGAGGTACGGGGAAGAGCAGGAACGGAGGATCGAGCGACTTACCGCCGGTCAGGACCCACCCGCCTTGGCTGAGCGGGTCAGCCGAGTGTGGTCCCTGGAGGGGTCCCTCCGCATCGTTGAACTATACGGGGGAATCGGTAGCGGGTTAGCAGTGGCGCTGCGGGCAGGGTGTGTGGTCGAGCAGTGGATCTACGCGGAAAGCGATCTTGTAGTGAGGAAAATGGCTCGGCATCACGCGTTGCGGCTAGCCGAAGAGTATCCGGACCAGCTGTGGGAGACAGTCATCCCTGCGGAATTGGAGCAAGGAGTGCACGACGCCCGGCAGATTACGGAGAGGGTGCTAGATGATTGGGGGCAGGTGGACCTAGTCATAGCTGGGTGGGAATGCTAAGGGTCTTCGAGGGTAGGGGAAGGAAGAGAAATAGAGGATGCGCGGGGAGCGTCCTTCAGGGACCTCAGGCGGGTGTTAGAGATGATTCAGCGGCGACATGGGGAGGTCTTGTATATCTTAGAGAACGTGGACTTGGCGGAGGATAAGAGAGAGCCCGTGAAGCAAGCGGTCGCAAAGATCTCTGAGGTATTGGGGAGGGGAGTGCCAGCTGACGCGGCTCAGTTGGGATCCCGGGCGCATCGACCGAGGAGGTATTGGCAGAATGGAATGTCGACAGCGGCGCTTCGCCACTCGCTGGCTTTGTTGCAACGGCCTGAACCAAGACTGGTGAGCGACATCTTGGAGCCGAACCGCATGCCCGCTCTAGTCACCTGTCTGGATCATCCCACGCAGTATCAGTGCAACGAGTCCGGGAAGCCAAGGCAAGCGCTGCCAACGTTGGTGTCGTATGCCGATGCGCGAGGGTTCGTCATGGAAGAAGAATTGCCGGGGCCGGGCATGATCTACGATGTTAGAAAGGGGAGGTGGGAGCAGCCGACGGCGAATGAGCGAGAAGCTACCATGGGACACCTGTGGGGAGCAACTGCGCATCCAGAAGTAACCGAATTACAACGTCTCGCCGCCCTGGGGAGAGCCATGGACGTGAATGTGATGACTTGGCTGATAGAAACTATTCGGATGCACCTGAAGGCGAAGGAGCTACAACGAGATATCGCGATCAACGAACAGAACCGAGAGTTTGCGTCCGCGGAGTGGTATCGGAAGGCACTAGCGAGGATGGAGGAGAAGTACGAGGAGAGGGTGGAGGAAGGCTGGGCGTATATGGCGATGGAAGGTATGGAGGAAGGAATGGAAGGAGCCGAGGAAGCGGCAGAGAAGGAGGTGGGGAAAGACGAAAGGGGGCCCGGGGATGATTGGGTCCTAGGAGAAGGAATGATAGGTGCGGCAGCGGCGGCTCTGCAGGAAGTGCTGAGGCAGCACCGCGGAACCTTCGCGTATACGCTCCAGGAGTTGGGAAAGTGCAAGACCCATGAAATGAAAATCGAGCTTACCAGTGAAGTGCCGGTATATCAGCGGAAGTGGCGGATGAGGCCGGGAGACATCGACATTTGCACCGAGAAGTGTAGGGAGCTGCTGGAGGCCGGGCTGATCCAGCGTTCAGAGAGTGATTATGCAGCAGCAACGGTCATAGCGTCTAGGAAAGACCTGACGGGAGAAGTATCGGCGAGGCGGATGTGCGGGGACTATCGGAGCTTGAACAAGGTTACGGTGGCTGACCGATACCCCATGCAGTTGGCCGAAGAGATCTTCGACAAGCTGCAGGGAGTGAAGATGTTCTCGACGTTGGACCTGAGGCAAGGGTTCAATCAGATTCCGATACGGCTGGCAGACCGCAAGAAAACGGTGTTCCATGGGCCGGATTGCTTGTACGAGTGGCGGTTCATGCCCTTCGGGATGAAGAATGCGCCGGCTTTATTTCGACGCATCATGGACACCGTACTAAGGGAGGTACCAGCGGCGGCCTACTACATCGACGATGTAGTAGTCTTTAGCCTCGACGCGGAGCAGCACGTGAAGGACGTGAAGGCTACACTGGACGCCTGGGCTCACCTGTCACCCGAAGAAATGCAGCTTCGGCAACATGGGACTGAAGTATCTGGGGTTTGAGGTGCAAGGGGGAAGGTTGGGGATTCAGCAAGCTAAGGTGGAGGTTCTGGATAGGGTCCCCCCGCCGAAGGACCGGAGTACTTTGAGGGCAGTGCTGGGGTTTCTCAACTATTATCGAAAGTTCATACCCAACTTCAGCAAGACCGCCGCGGCTTTGAATAGACTGCTGAGGGAGGACCAGAAGTGGCAATGGGAGGAAGCGGAGCAAGAAGCACTGAACGCACTGCTGAGAGCAGTCAAGACGGCCACTGTGCTGACGCTGTCGAACAAGGAGGATCTGTTCGTGCTCTACACGGACTGGAGCAGCGCAGGGATGGGGGCAATCCTTTGCCAGAAGCGAGCAGGCAAAGAGAAGGTGGTAGCCTTCGCTGGTCGAAGCTGCAACCCCGCGGAGGCCAACTACAGCTCATACGAGGGGGAAGGACTGGCAGCTGTATGGGCCATTACGCACTTCCTGGTGTATCTCCAGGGACGGCCCTTCGAGTTAGTCACCGATCACCAGCCGTTAACCTGGCTATTGACCAATCAGGCCCTGACTGGGAGGAATGCACGGTGGGCGATGAGGCTCCAAGATACTATCAGGCACCGCGCGGGCAAGACCATGCTGCATGTCGATGGTCTCTCACGAAATCCTCCCGAAGACCGACCCACAGTGTGCTTGGTAGCTTTGGCGAGAGGAATAGACAAGGAAGCCGCAAACAGAGCAAGGGGGAAAGGGCCGGAAGATGTCTGGGATGATCGGGAGGTCCTAGATTGGGTGCAAGGCAAGGCTACGGAAGCTACGGGACCTGTCCCCCTACTATCTGCTTCTGGGGCGCGAGCCGGTGCTACCGGTGGATGCACCTAGGATACTGACAGGTTCAGTGCGAGTGGAGAAGGAGGAGGATTGGGTGGGGCTGGCGGAGGCGAGAGCCAGCCAGGTACCTACGGGAGCTGCTACCCGCCGCGCTAGAAAACCTGCATGTAGTGCAGCTGAGGGACGCGCAGAGGTACAAGAAAAGAGGGGAGCAACAGGCCAAGGAGAATGGAAGGGCCCTGGGAGCCGGTGAGGAGGTGTACCTGAAGCAGGCGAAGCAAGATATGATGGACATCGGCCTGAGCACTGAGCGCTGGAGAGTAAAGGAGGTGAAAGACTCTGGAGTAGTGGTGCTGGTTAGCGACAAGGGGCAGCGACGGACGGATCATTACACCAACGTGGCACGGGCCCGGGGCAGGCCAGAGGAGAAGAGGCATAACCCGTTGCACAGGCAGGAGGTCCAGCGGCAGCCAGCAGGGGCCTTGGAGCAGCCGCGGAGGGGGCAAGTGAATGGGACAGATGGACACCCAAGGAAGATGAACAGAGCTGAGGAGCTTGCTGGGGAAAGTGTGAGGGTGGGAGGCAGAAAGACAAGAAGTGAGACGGGAAGGGTAGTGAGGCAGCAGGTGAGCTGAAGATTCCGACAGCTGTCACGATTTTAATCTTTACGTAGGATAATAGATATAAATTCGTGACTTATAGGACAACAGGCAGAACCATAACGGGAGTAGTAATAGCGCGACCGAGAGCCGAAGTGAGCGAAACCGAAATGGAATCCGCGAGGCGAAAAGGTACCGTTAGAGCAACGGCGGTAACTCGTGGGAATTACTTAAGCCAGTAGGCAGCATAGGATCAATGCTTGCGTGTTTGTTTTCCCGATGATGCTTAAACTTTCTTATCAGCCTGTAAGATCCTAAGCAAAGCGAGGTCAAACTTCGCAAGCATTCAGTCTGAGGTAGTCGCTCACAGTTTCAGTCTGCCGAGCTAGGGTTTGGGCATCAAGGCTATTAGTGGCCAGAGAGTGTGTTTAGTGCATGGGACAGATGGACACCCAAGGAAGATGAACAGAGAGCTGAGGAGCTTGCTGGGGAAAGTGTGAGGGTGGGAGTCAGAAAGACAAGAAGGGTGACGGGAAGGGGATTGAGGCAGCAGGTGAGCTGAAGATTCCGACAGTGGCAGCAGCAGTGCATGACATGATAGAGGAGGGCCTCTACCGCCTCTACCCTGGCCTTAAGGGGAAGGCGTCTGTGTTGCTGTTGCAGTCAGGCGACCACATTCTGAACATGTGAGATGGGATGGGCTGCTCTGAAGGGGGTTGGCTTGCTTCATGGGGAAGGGGTGGAGTTGGCAGCAGCAGTGCACGACAGGACACATGATAACAGGTTGGATACAAGCGTCTCAAAACCAGACTGCCTTGCTTCACAGGGGTGGTGGTCGCGGCAGCAGTGCACGACATGACACAACTTCTGCCGCCTCTACCCTGCTCTCAGAGGGAAAGCCTCCGTCTCTCTCCTGCACTCGAGATGGACACGTTTCCAACATGTGAGACGCGATGGGGTGATCTCAGGGGGGCCTTCTGAGGCATGTACACAGCATCACGGTATCACGGTGCACTGCACACGCACGCGCGCTTCACGGCTTTCTCCCCCTGCCTCCCCTCTACCCTCTCCCCGCATCCTCTCAGCTATAACCTCACTCCAACATCCTCCTGCCCTCCCCCTGCGCTCCCCCTGCCTCCCCTCTACCCTCTCCCCGCATCCCCCCTGCATCCCCACGCCGCCCGTTATCAGGTTTGACTTGCGCATATCTGAGTTCGCCGTCCGCAAGTTCCAGCGGGATGGCATCACGGTGCACACGCACGCGCGCGTCACGGCTGTCACGCCGCGCGCTCTCCATGTGCGGGAGACGAGCAGCAGCAGGGAGAGCAGTGGCAGCAGCGATGGCAGCAGGAGTGGATTGCACTCTAGTAGCAGCAGTGCGAAGAGCAGCAGTGGGAACAGCAGTGGCAGTACGCAGGGCAGCAGGGAAAGGGAGGTGCCGTATGGAGTGGTGGTGTGGGCGACAGGCATCACGGCCCATCCCCTGGTTGTGAAGTTAAGGGAGCAACTGGGACAGGTAAGGTTTGGGCAGGTAAGGGTTGGGGCACGTACAACAAACTGTGAACAGCAGCGGTGGTGCAAAAAGCAGGAGGCAGAGCGAGGTGCTGTATGCGTATGGAGTGGTGGTGTGGGCGAGAGGCGTCAGGACCCATCCTCTTGTTGTGAAGCTAAGGGAGCAACTGGGGTAGGTAAGCAGACGGCAGTGAGTGGATGGCAGTGAGTGGATGGCAGTGAGTGCCAACATCAACCCCCCTCTCTTCCCCCCATTGGAGCACCACAAGCGGAGATGGGTGGTGGATGCAGTGAGGGGGCACACAGCATTCTCATCACGTCCTCTTCTGTTTTCCCTCTCCACTCCGCCTGTTCTGACGTCTGCTTACATTCCCCCCCCAACACCGTTACAGCACTACAAGCGAGCATTGGAGGTGGACGAGTGGATGGCAGTGAGAGGCGCACACCACATTCTCACCACTCCCTCTTGTTCCCCCTCTTTCCTCTGATACTCCCCTAATCCTGTACCCTCCTTGCAGCACCACAAGCGAGCATTGGAGGTGGACGAGTGGATGGCAGTGAGAGGCGCAGAGGCGGGCAGCATGTGGGCGCTTGGTGACTGTGCTGCCATCGAGCACCGCCCCTTCACTGTGAGTTTGAGTGGAACACGGGTTGGCATGGCAGCATGTGAGGCGAGCAGCATGTGGGCGCTGGGAGACTATGCTGCCATTCAACACCGCCCCTTCACTGTGAGCACCGCCCCTTCACTGTGAGCACCGCCCCTTCACTGTGAGCACCGCCCCTTCACTGTGAGCACCGTCTCTTCACTGTGAGCACCGTCCCTTCACTGTGAGCACCGTCCCTTCACTGTGAGTTGGGTTAAGGCATCTTGTGAAGCAGGAAGAACGTGAAGCAGGAAGAACGTGAAGCAGGCAGAACGTGAAGCAGGCAAGCATTTTCCTCAAATCGAGGCACTTTGTATCGTCCCCTCCTTTGACCTCAACAGTGTGGCCCTATGTTGCACTCTTCTTTCCTGTCTCTCTCCCCCCCGCCATCCACCCTCCAACCCCTCATACCATCAAACCAATTTAAAAGAAGATGATACTGTGCTCGATGACAGCACAGTTTCCCAGCGCCCACATGCTGCCCGCCTCTGCCCCTTCACATCCTTCACATCCTTCACATCCTTCACATCCTTCACATCCTCACATCCTTCACATCCTTCACATCCTTCACTTCCTTCACATCCTTCACATCCTTCACATCCTTCACATCCTTCACTTCCAAGCCAGCAATTTCAAGAAGAAGAAGGAGAAGAAGACTGTAATTTCATTCCTCTCGTACCATGATCGTGCCCCACCATATCATCACTGTGCGAGCAGGACGAGGCAGTGCGCATATTCCGAGCCTTTGACACCAACGGGGACGGCTGCCTCTCGCCCTCCGAGACTAAGGCGGCCCTGCGAGCCCTTCAGCAGCGCTACCCGCATGCTGCTGCTCTGCTCAGGTCACGGGACCGCATGGCACAGCTCATTCAGGTGCATTCCCATTCCCCTCTCTTTACCTGCTACTTCCTTGCACTATCTGAGACCGAGACAACTCTCCGATCTCCCGTGCTAGAGCTGTCTACCCGCATGCTGCTGCTCTGCTCAGGTCAAGGATCCGCATGGCACAGCTCATTCAGCTACATTCCCATTCCCCTCCCTTTACCTGCTATTGCCTCGCACTATCTGAGGCTAAGACGGCCCTCCGAGCCGTCATGCCAGTGCTGTGCTACTCCCATGCTGCTGCCTAGAACACGTGACACCTGAATGAGGTGTGCCATGCTATCCTGCTCAAGTCACGTGGCAGCATAGCATAGCATGGCACAGCTCATTCAGGTGCACCCCCCTACCCTCCCCTGCTGCTGCCTATCACTCTCTGGGACTACAATTTTTTGAGCCCGTATGCTACTGCCCTGCTCAAGTCAAGCCCCCATATGACACAGCCCATTCAGGTGCACCTGCCTCCCGCTCTCTCCATGCTGCCGCCATGCTGCTGCCCACCATGCTGCCGCCATGCTGCTGCCCACCCTCTGATACCAAGTCGAACCTCCTGGCACTCTGGCTGTGCTGCCCCCATGCTGCCGCTGAGCTGTGGATGGGTGGGTTCGGGGGGTCAGTCAATGCATCCCATCTTGACGCAGCAGAGGGGCGAAAGGAGCTGGGAGGTCTCGCACCCACATTCCACGCTCCTCTCACTTCCACACCCCATTCTCTCCACCCCACTTTCCTGCCCGGCTCCTCCTCCCCTCTTCCTGTTGCCCGGTTTCCGATTCCCTCACGATGGGCTTTGGCAGGATGCATTGCATGCGGACAGCAAGGCAGGAGCACCAGCAGCAGCACCAGCAGCAGCACCGACAGATACTCCCGCAGGAACAGGGGCGCCGGGAAATGTGGGGAACGAGCAAGCGTGTGAGGGCAGGGGGCTATCACTGGAGCAGTTTGAGCTGTTACTGCGGCGAGTGGAGGGGCAGATGAAGACCCTGCCCGCCACGGCACAGGTGGCGGCGCAGCAGGGGCAGTACGTGGCTCGCTGCTTCAACCGCCTGCTGGACCCGGCTTTAATGCCGGAGGGGCCGCCCAAGCTGCGAGGCGAGGGCCGGCACCTGCTGCAGCCGTTTCGGTGAGTAGAATGGTGGGATGGGTGGTGTGATGGGTGGTAGGATGGGCGGTGGGATGGGATGGGATGGCGCAGCAGGGGCAGTACGTTGCACGTTGCTTCGACCGCCTGCTGGACCCGGCTTTGATGCCCGATGGGCCGCCCAAGCTGAGAGGCGAGGGCCGGCATCTGCTGCAGCCTTTCCGGTGAGTGAAGGAGTGGGATGGTAGGATGGGATGGTTTGGAACTGGGATGGACGTTTCTTAGCTTAGGTTTATGCCCTTCAGATTTGAGTCAATTTGGTATGGGAGTAAGGTGGGAGCAGCAACGGACACCATTTTTACAGCACTCTGACAATCTGCCACTCGCTCACCCATCTGCCACTCGCTCACCCATCTGCCTGACTAATGCGTTGATTGTGCCGACTGTCCTATTTGTCCCAATTGCCCCATCCATCCCAGTGCTCTGTCTATACCAACTGCTTTATCTGTGCCAATTGCGTCCCACTGTTCATTTGGGCAGTTCGCCCCTCTGGGTTCCGAAACGACGTCAGACTTTTGCGTCCACTCAAAAGCCAATTGCTTCTTTGCCATCCCCGTCCCTCCACGCTACCAGCTATGTCCATTCGGTACAGTTCGCCCCACTCGGGTCAGAGACCCCGACAGTAGAGCTGCCTAATTAAACCAGCTGCTCTATTTGTGTGAATTGCTTGTTGTGACCCTGCCCGCTGACATGCCACCGGCTATGTTCATTTGGGGCAGTTAGTTCGCCCCTCTGGAGTCAGAGGCCACGGCATCAGAGCTGGCAGCTGCCTGTGTAAACCCACTGCTCTATTTGTGCGCATTGCTTGTGACTCTCCCCCCTCTCTCCACACAACCAGCTACGTGCATTTGGGGCAGTTCGCCCCACTAGGATCGGAGACCACAGCCGCAGAGCTGCTTATCTATCCCAACTGTTCCATTTGTGCGCATTGCTTGTTGTGACCCTGTGCCCCTCACTCCGCCCTCGACCACACAACCAGCTACGTGCATTTGGGGCAGTTCGCCCCGCTGGGGTCAGAGACCACAGCAGCAGAGCTGCCGGGCGACTGGGTCAGCATTGGCAGGTCCACGCAGTGGCTCTGGTACTCCGTGTACGCCAGGTGGGTGTGCTGATGATGACGTGTATGAGTTGACCCCTCTGGTACTCTGTCTACGCAACGTGGGTGTGCTGTTCAACACTCGGTGTGCACACGTGGGTGTGCCGTGCAGTATGGGTGCATGCACTCCTGTGCTTGGATTAGAGGCTTATGGAATGTGGAGGGAAAGTTTGCCCCTCGCGACTGGGTCAGCACTTGCAGGTCCACGCAGTGGCTCTGGTACTCTTATGTCAAATGGGTGTGTTGTGCGGTATGGGTGCATGCATTTATGTGCGTGGACTGGAGTTTTGTCTTATAATCCTAGCAGCAGAAATGCCGCAGCACCTCACCTGTGATTCCTTGTGTCTCATTGTCCTTGCAGTAAGCAAGTCAGTGCGAGGACAAGAGCCCTGGTGGTGTTTGATTGGATCAAATCGACCCTGTTTGGCCGTGATTCAAGTCGCATGTGAATACTTGTACCGTCCTTGCTTGATACTCTAGTTTGATTGCTTGGTTAATACTTCGCTGGTACTTGCTAGTGTCAGAATGTGATGTTTGTCTAGCCTGCAGTGGGGTACTCTATAGCGAGTACAGCCCAGATTAGGGTTTGCTATATGTACTCAACTGCCTGCTAGTGAAAACCCCTTTTTGCCTGTTTCTCGATTGTGCCTAGTATTCCGACATGCTATCAGAGCAGGTCGACCCTCCTGGGTCGATCCTGTGGGTGGGCCCACCCGATGCTTCCGCTGCTGTTCTGCTTCTCGCGCGCCTCGGACGCGCGACGTTTTCAGCCTACCGCGCGCTCGGAGCAAGACGCGACGTTTTTAGGGTTTTCTGCTCGCCGCACGCACGGAGCGCGCGGCGGTTTTTTGCCCACCGTGCGCCCCGAGCCGCGCAGCGGTTTTCTGCCCAGTCGAACCGCGCGTCGCCCCCCGTCACCCGTCGAGGCGCCCCCGGCGACCCGCGCGTCGCCCCCCGTCGCCCGACGCGGCCCGCGCGACCTGCGCCAGGCCCGCGCGCGGCCCGTACGGCCTGCGCGAGGCGCGCGTGCGGCCCGTACAGCCCGCGCGCGGCCCGTACGGCCTGCGCCAGGCCCGCGCGCGGCCCGTACAGCCTGCGCACGGTCCGCACAGCCTGCGCCGGAGCCGTGCGCCGTCCCCCGAGCTGCTGCCCGCGCACCACCCCCGCTACTGCCTGTGTTAGGGTTTGGGAGTGGCGAGTATGGGGGTGACAGGTGTGTGTGCCGTCCCCTGCTCCTCCTCCTCCTCCGTCTCCCACTGCTGCAGCTGCCGCTGAGGGGGGTGGGTGTGTTGGAGCCGTCGGAGTGGTACTAGGGGGGTGGCGTGTGAGCAGTGCTAGAGGTACAGCAGAGGGTGTGTGAAAGGGGTGTGGGACAGCTGGGGGAAGTTGAGTGGAGGCAGCCGTCTTGTCGTCCGCAGCGCCTGAAGTCCAGAGAGCCACGACCCCCTGTGGCCGTGTAGTCCGGGGCTCTGCGCCCGGTAGCCACAGTGTGAGCATTCCTGCTAGTCCAGAGAGCCACGACCCCCTGTGGCCGTGTAGTCCGGGGCTCTGCGCCCGGTAGCCACAGTGTGAGCACTCCTGGGAGCACAGCGAGCCAGCTGCGTCTGTCGCCGTGTAGTCCGGGTTTAGCCTGGTAGCGACAGTGCTGCGCACTCCTGTTGCCCGTGTGTCTGCAGCTTCAGCCGTCGCCTCCCATCTTCTCGCCCCCGCAGTTTCTCCTCCTCCTCACTTGCCCTCTGTGATAGCCTCTAGCTTTGCTTGTATTTGTGAACCTATTGCTCTGCCTGCTTGCTGTGCTAATTATACCCCACTTTGTTTATGGGGGTGTGTCAGAATGTGATGTTTGTCTAGCCTGCAGTGGGGTACTCTATAGCGAGTACAGCCCAGATTAGGGTTTGCTATATGTACTCAACTGCCTGCTAGTGAAAACCCCTTTTTGCCTGTTTCTCGATTGTGCCTAGTATTCTGACAGCTAGCTGTATGATGGGGTGGTAAACCCTGCACTTGCATTCGTTGCTCAATCGTTCGGCAGCAAAATCTCACCAACAAACAAGCAACCCTCATACCATCATACCCAGGATAGAAGCGCCCTTGGGGGTATAAAAAAACACAGTTTTTTAAGGGTGGGCTTATAATTGAGGATTTTTATAAGCGCCGGGGCTTATATAATGACATATATGAAATCTAGTTTTTTTTTACACCCAAGTGTTCATCTCGTTCTTGCGATTTGAATCGAATCGATATTGTAGAGGGCAATGAATGTGAATTTCGCGTAAATTGGCAGTGGCTGGATCCGTGCCAACACACATAGTCGGAATGAGTCAGATTGACCCCATGACAGCTCATTCTGACTGGACGCGAAGGCATTGAGTCGCGCGAGGGTGAAGGGATTCGAAATTCCGAATGTGGGGATGCAAAATCTTGTTTCGTTACAGCATTTCCAGTAAAAAAAAAAAAAAAAAAAACATATTATAGAGGTTGGCGCTTATAATCCGTAAGCCGTTAGGGGTGCGCTTATAATCGAGGACCGGATATAAGCGCCATAAGCTTTTTATAAGCGCCGGCGCTTATCATAGGCCTGCGCTTCTATCCGGGGCCTTACGGTACGGTACGTAATGTAATTGGTGAGCCAAAACAAACAAGGTGTAGTCCAGTTTGGTTGTTACAACAGAAGGAATTGCATAATGCAATCAAGATCACGTACATCATCTCACAATACTGAGCAGACACAATCGATGGCCTCACATGGTGGTGGGATATCAAGGATCACTATGGAAGCATCTATGGACTGCACAACATCTGCCTGATGCACATAAAAACCATCTACAAGCCCCTCCTCTCATGCACTGCACATGAATGCATTTCCCTAAACTGCATCCACCTGCTTTCTCCAAAACCTGCATTCCAAGCTCACTACGGTACCAAAGCATCCTAGCAGCCAACGTGCATGCACGGTCATACAAGAGTGTCAATGAGCGAGGCGCGCATCTCATGCACGACGCTGGGAGCCATGCTCTCCCTCAGCTTGAACACGCTGTCAATCACCGACAGCTCCGTGGCTGTCGTGTCAAACCCTGCAAACGCCGCCCAGTCATTCGCCACCAGCCCCGCCCCCACCACCTCACTGCCGCGGTTCACTGTGCCTGCCACCAGCGGCACTTGTAGCAGTGATGACAGCTCGTCAAGGTCTTCAACTGATGTTTGCGGGTGCACCTGGTGGAATGGTAGTGGTCGCACACACACACACACACACACACACACACGCACACACACACACACGCACACACACACACACACACACACACATACACACACACACACACACACACACGCACACACACACACACGCACACACACACACACACACACACACATACACACACACACACACACACACACACACACACACACACACACACACAAGGGGGCTGTAAGCATGAGCATAGGCTGACCATGGACTCGGGACCATTCCATGCGCAGGAGATGTACGCGCGGGCGAGCTACTCCAACAATACAATACACAAATATTGTAGGCACCTAAAAAATAGGCGGGTAGAGAGACGACTTTTGAGGCGCCTCAAAAGCCGTGCACAGGAGATGTACGCGCGAGCCATTGCAACAATACAATACACCAGCACGACTTTTGAGGCGCCTCAAAAGAAGACACAATACACCAGCATGTGAGTACAGGTAGGTGCGAGAATAGGCGAGGCCACGGCTGTTGTGAAACATGGTGCTACAGACTGGCTGTGCACTGGAGTGGCATGGAGACGAAGCAGCGGGAGGGAGTGCGACACACTGACCAGGCCGCCCCAGTTGGTGAAAACGCAGTAACTGCCGGTGTTGCCGGCGATGGTCTGACGGAACAAGCTGACTTCTGAGCTAACTCAAACGTCAACACGAAAAGGCAGTGAGAGTGAGAGTGACTGACCAAACCACCCCGGTTGGTGAAGACGCAATAACTGCCGACGAGGATGTTGCCGGCGATGGTCTGACGGAACACCTCCACCCTAACACGTCTGCTATCAGCTCCTCCATCTCCTGGTGGAGAGAGAGGAGCATGGGGCGAGCCAGACAGAAGACACGGGGCACACGGAAAACACGGGGCAGAGGGAAAACACGGGGCATAGGGGAAACATGGGGCAGAGGGGAAACACGGGGTGGAGGGAATGCATAATGAAGCGATGGTCTGACGGAACACCTCCACCCCCAACACGTCCGCTATGAGCTCCTCCGTCTCCTGGTGGCGGCAGGATGAGGCAGAGAGAGGCAGAGTGAGGAATGCAGTATTGAGGCAGAGGAATGCAGCACGAGGATTAACGCAGCAATAGGCAGGAAGCGCAGTGGACAGAAATGGTCTTACAAAACACCTCCACCCCCAACACGTCTGATATCAGTTCCCTGTCTGCTGGTGGCGGCAGTACGAGGCAGAGAGAGGAATGCAGTGTGGAAAAGGGAGGCTTCCCTGACGTCGCCTCCGTCGCCGACTTCACCCAAGTCGGCTGCATCTCCCCTGGCGGCGTCGACGTCTCTCGCATGCCGACTTGCTGGACGTCATGCCGGCCACCGGCGATGCTACTGGTCGGCGCCACAGGCAACGCCCCATGTCTCCCCTTAACGTCGGAGGCCGACGTCGGCGCCTGCTGGCCGGCTACGAGGGGTGGGGTGGCAAAAGTTGGGGGAGGGGGGAGGACATCGTCGACGTCCTCGACAACAAGGTTACTGACCTTGGCGAGCAAGGGGAGATTCGTCGTCGAGGTGTCTGTTGGTAAGCCGACCTGCATCTGCCCAGACGCCGGGCCGTACTCCGACTTCCACTATTCCAGCGACATGGCTTCGTAGAACACCACGTCCGACGTGGTGACCACTTTGTTGTCGCTGAGGTCGAGGACCTCCCAACCCTCGCTCTCCTCCAACACACTGAGGTGAAGGCCCCACCTGGCCTTTGGCGCCAGCTTTCCACCGCGCTGCTGCTCAGGGACCATGAACTGCGCCATGCAGCCCCATATGCGCGCCAGTGTCAAGTCCTGCTTCTTGCTGGTCAGCAGCTGGTACGGTCATCCCTGGCGGCAATGTCGACCTCTCTAGACAGTTGCGCACCCAGACAGCCTGCCGCAGAGCGAGGTGCCACCAGTGGTGCTGTACGCCCATGTGCAACAAGATTGTCCGCACCGACTCCACCACCGTCCGCATCTCCCGCTCCGCCATGCCGTTCTGCTGCGGTGTGTAGGGGCAGGTCAAGTCGTGGACGATCCCCTTGCCATCCACGAAGTCGGTGAACTGCCTTTCGAGGAACTCCCCTCCCCGGTCAGAGCGCAGCATCAACACCGACTTCGTCGTCTGCCGCTCAACCACCACCAGCCACTTCGCTAACTTGCGCAGCACGTCAGACTTCTTTGCGACCAGCCACACCCACACGAAGCGGGTCTTGCGGTCCTTCAGCAGCAGG